GATAGAAGATTTGTAACAACAGAACAACCTGTTATACCTAGTTCAATGTTAATTCCTGAACGTACTTTATATGTCCAACAACAAGAAACTGTTGTAAGTATGATAATTTTACTTATCAAAGGAGATTTCTTGTAATATAGTATTTGAGATTTGAATATAATATGTTTCTGTTATTGTTATTTTCTGACATGAAGAAATCATTATAGGTACAGCCAATAGTGAGTCCAGTCGAATTACCAATACGAACACCGATTGTGGAGCAATTTCAACAGCCAATGGTGCCGTCTATATCTACTCAAATTATTGTCGAAACGCCCAATCCTGTGATTTTAACACAGCCAAATAATATTATGGTAAGATGTATCTTCCTAGATATTTAATATAGTTATTCATCGAAAGGAAAGTTATCACAGATAAAAAATTGTCATGATTGGCTTCAGAACTGAGGAAAATTCCCAAAAAAAAGAAAATTTTTCTTAACCTGTAATGATGTTTTTTCATTAAAGAAGTTTATTGATGATTATCATATATCGTTTGTTTTTTAGAAACAACCTGAATCCAATATTGCCGTTCAAACTTTCTCAGCACCGATTATCATGGTATGTGTAAAGTCTACATGTGTGTTTTGTTGTTTCATCGTAGAACCAGTAAAATACCTTACTTGAGTATCTGTTAGATTATCGAATATTGTATCATGCTTCGAAAAATCATTCATTTCTTAAATACGAAGGGAGAGAAAAACAGTAGCAACTAGAAGTATACTCTGTTACAAAATTTAGGCACAATCGACGCTTGAAGCAAGTGTTCAAACCATTCCATCACCGATTATTCCTGTACCTGTACGTATCAACTTTCAATATTTGTTTGAAATTAACGTCCTGCTCAATATTGTATTCCTTAGTTAATAGTTCAAATATTACCATCGCCAACACTTGTTGGTACACGTACTTTTGATCAGCCACCATCGATCGACACCGAAGTGTCCGTTGTCATTCAACAACAACAACAACAACAGCCGATTATATCACCTCAATCACCATCGGCAGTTATAAGAACGATCTTTAGTGAGGTAAGACAATCTTCGAAAATAATAAAACTTCAGCCAAACCCACATCCACACGATTGTTTTTAAATTGTTATTTTCTTTTCATATACAGATACAATCTGCTCCACAAGCAACCATCGTTACACTACCATCACCAGTGATTGATGCACCTGTAAGCATAAATTTTATATTTCTTATGATAAAAAGATTGTTAATGGTGATTCTACTTTGTAATAGAGAATTGAAGCATCAGCAACTATTTCAATTGTCGAACAGCCTGTCAATATTCAGAGGATAGTTGACAATCGACCACAACAAGCAATCATCTCGCCATCTTTGCCGATGGTTATTGTAGAAACTATCTTTAGTCCAGTAAGAATACTATTGACTATCTTTCGATATCATGTGCTGCCTGATGATAGATTCCGTAGCCAGCTATTTCTTCCACCAATAATACTAACTGTAGCTCTGGATACAAGATCAATCTGACTTGGAGATCTTGTGATCAATTGCTTGGACTTCTCATAAACTTGATGAAAAGTCAAGACTAAAACTACAGTTTCTAGGAAAATCTGAAATTTCGTGCTCAATGGTTTTAATACCGTCTACTTCATCGGTTATGTCTCTTCAAATCGATCTATCATACTATGAAAATGAATAGTACCAGAGAATACCTTGAAGTCACGAAAGAAATTGTACCGATGCTTTGCAGCATACGTTCACTCTTACTTTTAATGTTTAGATACGATTAGCTCCTCAAGAAACAATTCTTACAATGCCTTCACCACTAATTAATGCGCCTGTAAGTATGAATTTTATATTTCCGATTGTCTTAAAAGTTCTTAGTTATTATTCTGCATTGAAATAGATCGTTGAAACATCAGCATCGATTTCAATTACTGAACAGTCAATTAGAAGCCAACTTGTTCCCAGTTTTCAACAACGACCAGTGATTGAGTCTCCTACTCCAACAGTTGTCATCAGTACTATCTTTAGTTCGGTAAGAATAATTTAATCATTGTACTATACTTTTTTTTGTAAATTAATTTATCTTTTCTTTCATATAATGATTAGATTCTACCAGCACCGCAAGCAACTGTTCTTACATGTCCATCACCTATAATTGATGCACCTGTAAGCATGAACTTTTTTTATATTTGATAAAGTTAACATTTTTCATTATTATTTGTTATTTAAGCAAGCCGTTGAAATATCTGCAACTATTCAAGTTGTTGAGAAGCCTGTTATTTATCAGCCTTCGCCGTCTATATCACCGCCGGCTATCATAAGAACGATTTTTAGCGAAGTAAGAAAGACTTAAGGCAGTAAAAAATCAATAAACTGAAGCAAAACATTCCTTTGATGAAAATGAATAGGGTCGGTTGGTTTCTTGAGCAGATCAAAAAAAATTAATAATACTGTTCGATATCTATTCATCTTTACTTTATTTTAATCTATAGATACTATCTGTTCCAGAAGCAATAGTTCTCAGAATACCATCACCCGTAATCGATGCACCTGTAAGTATGAAAACTTTTAGATGTTTAATGAAAATAAACTTCTTAATTGTGATTCTACATTGGTATAGATAGTTCAACCATCAGCAACTATCTTAACCATAGAGAAACCTGTTGTTTATCAACCTTCACCGATCGATATAGTACCAAGACAACAGATAGTCTCATCTGTTGTGCCATCGCCTATCATAAAGACGGTCTACAGTTCGGTAAGAATAACTTTTTAATGATACTAAACAGTCAATTGAAGGTAAACGCAAGTAACACTCATCATTGTAGCTCATTTCAAACTCGTAGGCAGATCTCAGTGAGACTAGCAAAAGTCTAGAAGAGTTCCACTCCATGGATATTTTCCGATTTATGTGTAGATAGTTTCCAAAAATCCCGTTATTCGGTCTTTCGTTTTGACGAGACGGAAAAACATTACACAATACTCATATTTTGAAACATTAATACATCTTCATTTTTTTTATTATATACAGATACAATCGGCTCCGCAAGAAATAATTGTCACAATCTCATCACCTATTATAGAATCATCTGTAAGTATCGATTTTTTGTGTTTATTGAAAAGTATTCTTCTGCTATTTTTGTCGTTGATTTTGTAGCCAATAGTTCGTACATCAGAGACAATATCTATTGTCGATAAACCCCAAGTATATCAAACTGTACCGATTGATTTTCAACCAAAAGTCTTAATACAAGAACAACAGCAAATCATATCACCTGCTGTAACGCAGCCTGATGTGATACCTTCTTTGTCAGAAGTGGCCATAAGAGTTACCTATAGTTCGGTAAGTAATATCTGTCTTGAATGATAATGCTTATAGTTTGTTGAAGTTATCTTCAAATCCTTTCGTTTTTCTTTAAATATAAATAGAATCAGCACCTTAAGAAATCGTTCGTACTTTCTCATCATCGATTGAAAGTGTATATTCTCTAGATTAAAAAGATAGGCTCTAGAAATGCACAATAATATAAATGATGCAAAATCGAATGTTTTCAATTACAAGCTTTTTTGTTTAAATTATTCAAACTTTCAACACAAGATCTCTAAAATCAATATACAATAAAAAGAATTTTCATTAACTGTATTCAATTATTATTTGAAATTTCAAATATAATTGCAAGATCTTTTTTATTTTCATTTATCCTAGCCAATAATCGAAATACAACAACAACAGCCGGTTATTCCATCTCCTAGTACAATTAATATTATAAGACCTATACCAAATCCGGTAAGAAAAATTATATTTGGTATATAAAAACTCATCTACATTGAATCTCGAGGTGCAAAAAGATGAAATTTGTATGAATATATTCGAATCAATCTTTTTATAACAATCTACTATAGCAGAAATTCAGAAAGAATATAAAATAACTACTAACAATTCGTATTAATATCATATTGGAAAATATTTTTTTTCATTTTTAATTAATAAATTTAGAGAATTCAAGTTCCAGTCTATGACACTTTATCATCACCAATTATCACAGTATGTATAAAATTAATATATTTTACATTTAATACATACAAGTAGTTTTTAAGTTCAACTAGTTTATTAGCAATTTTCATATATAAATTCATGATTATCATCAATGTGACTAGTTTTGTCATTTTATTGAATCATGCATGACATTTTTACCTTTGGTTAATATTATTGTTATGTTTTTTCTAGGCACAAGTGGTTGAGCACATATATTCATCTAGAATTATAGTACGTACTATGAACAAAACGGATGATATTAAATAGAATAGTTATAATTATTTTTTGTCTAGCCAAGTCCATCAATTGCTGTTGTTTCTAGTTATGCTCAACCAATAGATCAACAACCTGCTATTGAAGAACGTTTCCCAAGTGAAATACTTTCATCTCTATCTATTGAAGTAAGTCTCTTGATAGTAGAGCCTAATGAATCGGGTTAGAGTCTGAAAATGTTAGACTCTACGAATTCTATTTCCGAGACTATTTAGTACTATCGATGCCTAGTTATAATGAACACAGATGTTTTTATAAAACAAAATCTAATTGATCACTAATTGGCCAATATTTTGAAAACCAGATTCTGAAGACAGTTCCCATTGGATTTGGATTAGAAGAGTTCTAGCTAAAGGATTATTCATCACGCTTCCTCGAATGATGATGTTTATTTTTTAAGTGGAAATCTACCTGAGACTGCTATTTTAGTATTATTGAAACATCAACAACTTCTCTTAAACTATATAAAAAAATTGAAATTTTATAAATCTTGAAATAGGAATCTAAAACAAAATCATCATTCAACTCAATATGATGAATAGTCCACGTCTGAAGCTATTTTGAAGTCTCCAAAGGTCAATTTGCTTACGTCAAAAGTCCCAGCAAAAACTCTTGTCACTCTTGAATAGAAGCAGCTATGGCGCTTGAGTTTGCATAAATCGAAAGAGGAGGCTGTTTTTTACTGATAGTAATAAGATTACAATATGGAACAATTTTTTTCTATATTTTAAAGCAAAGAAATAATCGAAAATATATTCGAATAATCTTTTATTTATCTATAATAGATTCAAGCACCAAAGATACGTATGATACCTTCACCGATCATTGTAAGTATTAATCAAATCGACTTCATGTTATTTAGGTTTAATTTGTGAATAGTCACCACCTATAATAGCGACAGATCCACACGTTCCTTTATCAATTCCATCTTCTGGAATACGTACTGAAATGTGCAATTGTCAATGTCCAATCAGTGGATTTGTACCAATAGTTTATAATAATCGTCAACAAAGTTGTACCATTGGTACGAGACGAAAACGTCGAGATCGTCATTTTATTGATGATGATGATGACGATGATCATTATTTCAGACCAATTAACTAAATTTAAATTTTTTCGTGTTTTATATAACTCTACTGATTATTGATTATATTTGTTGTTGTTTCTTTTTCTTTTCGACATTGATAATATATCAGAAGAAAAGTGTGGTGTTCACAAGGCGAATGCATTCTCATATAGAGTCTTGAAATATTGTCCTTATCACTATGATTGTCAATATTCAAATTAATAATGTAGCTATTTTAATTTCTTCGTAAGATAAAAAGAAAAATAGCTATCATTTTGAATATATTTAAAAGGATATTATAATAGGAGTGAAGCTATCATTTACTTCAATAGAAAAGCAACCATTAGTTCAGTTGGTGCTCTTGTCGATTATATTATTGAAAGACTTTCAAAAAGAAACTATTCCAATCAATATATGCCACTTAGAATCAGCTTGTACAATCTACGAGTTACATGTAACTTGTTCAGTAAGGCTTATTCTCAACATATTGGTTTGGATGAAAACGACCTGACGATTGTTTCACAGAATTATTAAGACCATCATTTGCGAGGTCTTTGGAATAATAAATATCACTCTTTTTTTAAATATTATGAATCAGAAGCTAAATATATGTATATTTACTAGAGGAGAATAAACACTTGGTTATTAAAGTGTGTAACAACTGCTTTCTCAAAAATCAAAAGTGAGATGAAAACTAATTAATGCATATGGTAGAGCAAATTCTACTCCATCGATTTTGTTATGTTCTTATTCTGTATCCTTCAACCTTTTAATTGGCTCTGGGTGTAGGTGAGTGTGGGTGTTCTCAACCTTTCAGTCAGACTCACACCCCACCCTACCTACTCTTTAGGAAAAAGTTTGAGAAAATTCTATTGCACTGATTTGTAAAACGTCTATCGCAAACATCGGATGTTTTTGAGCCCAATATATAAGGTGACTAGAACTGAACTGAAAATTTCAGTCGTACTTGATCATGACTTATACATTATTGGATAGGATGTTTGGATTGCTCATCTCAAAATGTATCTCTAGTTCAAATAATTGATTAAAAAGAAATTGATGAAAGGCTATTTTGGGTACTATTAGTCGGATCATCATACCTCAGTCCAAATGAATTCTTTAGGTGTTCAAATTTGACTTTATTCCTAAAAAGAATTAGCTCTACAATATGGAGTAACTGTCATCGAAATCTGAAAATATCGATTTAACTCAGTCCGGTGTGGCTCTCGTGTAGTCATTCTTAAAAACACAACGAAAACACATTATAAAAGTATATAGTTAACGCTAAAACAAAAACAAATAAGATGGATCAGGGACTGGCTTCAGAAGAAAATAAATATGCGAGCCCTAATCAAAGTAATCAACCAAGAAATGAAGAACCTGTTCAAAGGGTGCGAATAATGGCACGAATTATTGATTCTGTAGAACGGCACGATGGGAGACAATGGGAATTCTTACTTTGAAATACGAATAGATGGATTATATGGTGTTCAATATATAAGGATAAGCATCGTAAAAAATGAATGCATTATTGCATTTATCAATACATATATTTCAAAAACAAGTTGTGCCGTATTTGACGTACTGTATTACCTGTGTAAGATATAACGGTGTCTGAAGAAAATCCGTCTTTATATTTTAATATTTGAAAACGGCATTTGTTTTTTTCTGAAGCACATCAGACTTTAATAATCATGTTATTGTTTGTCCTTTAGAAAGTGGATGATGCTCGATTATTGACAACTTTTTTCCTTTTCCATTCATCAATAAGCTCAACATTCATATATCCACATTCGGTACATTTATTATTGAACAAACAAATCTCAAAATACGGTACTAAACGACTACGAAAAAAATTATACATTAATTCAAATTCTGAAGCAATTTGAAATAACAAAAAGAAAAAGATTCAATAGAATATAACGACTTGAATACCCTGAAAAACTTTTTATTGATTATCACCACCTCGAAGTTGAGCTATAAGATAAAGTGTGCTTTCCTCTTGAATGTTATAATCACGTAATGTTTGGTGATTTTCAAGTCGTGTTCCGATAAATATGAGTCTTTGTGCATCAGGTGAAATATCTTCTTTATCTTGGATTTTAACTTTAAGCTTTTCGATAGTGTCACTTGGTTCAACCTCGAATGTCATTGTTTTACCAGTGAGTGTTTTCACAAATATTTGCATACCACCACGTAACCGAAGAACAAGATGAAGTGTACTTTCTTTCTGAATATTATAATCGCTCAATGTACGACCATCTTCAAGTTGTTTGCCAGCAAAGATAAGTCGTTGCTGATCAAGTGGAATGCCTTCTTTATCTTGAATTTTTGCTTTTACATTTTCGATAGTATCACTTGGTTCAACGTCAAGTGTGATAGTTTTTCCAGTAAGAGTTTTAACAAAGATTTGCATTGTTATTAAGTAATAATAAGTAGGCAAAAAGAAGAAATAAATATATGCTTAACAAAAATGAAGGAAATAATGTGAGATATACTGCTGCTTTTACATTGTATATCTCGTGAGAATGAATCAGCGCTAGGTCGTTGTAGACAATGGTAGGATGAATCCCAATGTCATAATAATGACGCACAGTAAACTATGACAAATAAAGAAGATAAAGAAATAAAACAGAAAAAAAGATCGAAACAATCCGAAAAAATATTATTGGTTATCATCGATATGAATCATATTTAAATCGTAAATTACCAAGCAAAATGTTTTCGGTTTTCAGTTTCATTTTCGGCTTTTTATTTCTATTCAAAAGAAAAAGATTGAGTAGGTAACTGGCAATGACTGAGACGAGTGATTCATCGAATCCATAGGAAACTGTGTGCTTCAGATGACGCTGGGAACTTGTCACTGCCTAAGAAATATTGGATGTTGCCAACCGTCGTGTTGAAAGGAAATAAAACTTTTCTTGTATTTTTTTTGTTGTGGAAGTTGACGAAATTATCAAATAATATTTCACAAATGTTGTTGAATAAGTAATGATCATGTTCATAGTTCATAGCATCTTAATTATAAAAAGTAATAGTTCGAGTGTGAGCATGGGTGCGTGTGAGTACCGGTGGGACTGAGGTAATATGTGTTTAGTTCGTTTACCATATACCCACACCCAACTATTACGTAAAGTATCTATATTTTGTTTTACTAGAGAGAGAATCTCCTCTCTTGCCTTCCGCCGAATTTAATGTTTTTTCCTTATGGATCTTACCTTGTAGTCTAATGAAAACTTTTAAAGAAGTAGAGTTCTTATTGAGATTTAGCGGAGGATGTGGGTGTCCGACAAAACCCAATCCTTCACTTCCTCGCAGTGTCGGATGGAAACGTCATTCTTGACGGCTAAGATGGGCTCTGGTAAGCGCCTCAGAGCTAGTCACCCGTGGTATGTTTCCACCGACTCCGAAAACAACAATCGAAGAACCCATTTCGGGCAACAACCTCTCGTCTCATCGTCAGCATGCAAGGATTTCACCCGAACCCAAGGTTATGATAAGGCAGGTATCTGTCTTTGAGGATGCAACGGCGATTCGAACCAAAAATAAAATCTCAAAAACTTTCCACAAGGCCATCACAATATCCACGTACAACGTACGCACTCTCACACAATTTGAAAAATTACATCAACTAGTACATGGGTGCGCCAAAAACAACAACGACTTGGTAGCAATTCAAGAACATCGTTGGCAAACACAAGGACAAGTCAGCACATACTATGAAACATTGAACGACACAACATGCCGCTTTGAATACTCGTCAGCAGCACCAGATGGACAAGGCGGTGTTGGACTGCTTATAAATCCTAGACTATCTACACTACTGAGCTCATCAGAGAAGATACCAAATCGTATCATGATGGTGCACTTTAAAAGCAATCCAACAATAACCATTATTGTCGCTTATGCACATACAGAAGATAAAAGTGATGCAGAAAAAGACACGTTCTATGATGATTTACAAAAATGCACTTACAACGTTCTACCACACAGCGTTCTAATTCTGGCCGGCGACTTCCATGCAAGAATAGGATCCGATAGTCACTCAACAAAACCACGAGCAATTGGCAAATATACATATCACAACATAACTGACGACAACACCAATCGAACTACTACGAAGTCGGCAACATGCGCTCAACACAAACTCGCTTCCCACAACCAAAATCAAGATCATGGACCTGGTTACACCCAAACGGTAAATCTAAAGCTCAGCTTGATCACATACTCATCAATGGAAAATGGTTAAACTCAATTCGAAACGTTCGTGCATACAACTCAGTCAAATTGAACTCTGACCATCGTATTGTGAGCGCAAAGCTATCGATCAGTCTCCGAGTGCCCAAAGATAACAAATGCAAACGTATCAGGTTCGACCGGACCAAACTCAAAGACAATTCCAACTTACAATCTCAATTTAATATAAAAGTACAAAATCGTTATGAAATTCTTCTCAATAACAATTCTGACAACGACATCCAAACAAAATACGACAACTTTGTAAGAAGCATAGAAGATACAACAATAGATCTGGTTGGAAAATCGACACGAAAAAATAGAAAAAGTTGGGTCTCAACTGATACCATTAATATCCTAAACCAAAAAAACAAAGCTAAAGCCGTATACAAGCAAAATCCAAATGCAGAAAGCGAAAATCATTGGCCCAAACTCAACGAATAGCTTGATAAATCTTACGACAATGATAGAATCAATTTTCTGGACGACAAACTCGAACAATTAAAACAAGCAGCAGCGTCAAACCAACTAAGAACAACATAGACTTTAGTAGATAAAATCAGTGTGGGTGTGTGGGCGGGTGTGGATAGGGTGTAGATGTGTGGGTGTGGGTGTGGGTGTGGGTGTGCAGAGCTTGCATGAATCAACACTCACACCCACACCCGCACACCTACACACACCATCACCCACACTCTCATCTTCAAACAATAGATGTTGAAAGCATGCACACGAAGATGTTAACCTACGATTTCTGGGTTGAAATATCGATTTATTGTATGCGAGCAGCTGAAGGCATTTTTCT